GGCTGGCCCGGCGCCCTTGGGCGCCTGCTGTCCCCGAGGCCGCCCCTCGCGACGCCGGGGTGCAGGGCGGCCTGGCTGTGGCCGCTGACGCCGTGTTTCCCTCGCAGGGGGACCTGGGCCCCTTTAACCCGGGGCTGCCCGTGGACGTGCCCCTGTGGCTGGCCGTCAGCCTGAAACAGAGACAGAAGTGCCGGGTGCTCCCTCCGGAGTGGATGGATGTAGGTGAGCTGGCCGGGCCGCGGGGCACGCCCCTCCGCACCTGCGGGCTCGCTCCCAGGTGCGACTGCTGGAGCAGGCGCGGGAGTGCCCACACCTGCCCTCCCCACACCTGCCCTCACTGAGTGCGCACGGGCCTTGCGGCAGCCGGGCAGGCCTCGGTCGCGTGCAGTTCCGATGGTTTAAGAGCCTCCTGGTGCTTGACGGAGCGGACCGCCGAGGAGCCATCAGGTTCCCCTAATGAGGCTGCGGGAAAATGCGGCCCCTACACCGGAACATTATGTAGCCAGACAAAGGGTGACTCCATAGCAAAACATGGCAGAAGGAGGGAGTGTGTTGGGGAGGTGATAGAGGGTTTCTAAGCTGCTTTCTGGGTGTGGAAATGCATGGAATGGATGGAAGTGTTGGCTGTGTGACTGAGTATGCCGCAGGCTGCTGCAGGTGTACTTTCAGTGGGTCCATGTGTTAATGATGCCTCAGAAAGCTTTTAGGAAAAGGGCCTCCCAGGTGGCCTGGGGTAAGTGTCAGGCTGTCACCAGGATGGCCTGAGCGTGATCCTGAGTTCTGAGTGTGACGGCGGCCAGGGAGGGACCCCCAGGGCGCAGCAGACCCCCGTCCCCCACCCCGTCTCAGCAGTGTTTTCAGTAGATCCCTTGTTCTCCTTCCCACTCTGTCTCTGGGGTGTCCCCTGTGTCTAGTGAACCCGCTCACCTGGCCGACACTCCAGTTCTTCCACACCCAAACAAATCGTTCTTTAAAATAAAAAGCGGTTATGGAAAAAAATGCATCGGAGATACAAACATACTTTACTGAGTCCCTTCGCCACCTCAGACTGAGTCACACTTGGAGCGTGTAGGAGTTTGTTTGTATTGAGTGCTCTAGTCCTAATGAAACAGTGCTGGGAGGCTGCTACTGCGTCTGCGCAGTCACAGTGCAGACATGTCCCCCCTCCTGCTGTCATCCGCACCCCCTCTCCCTCCCCGCCCAGCCGCAGAGCCCTTGGTGTCGAGTGATGTCCACTGCTTTCTGGAAGTGGTTTACATGTGTATTTTGTGTCTACTTTACCTCACTGCTACTTTGTGTACAATGTGTGCTTTCTCCTCGGTCACTGGCACCATCACCAGTGTCCCTGTGCTCTTCCTGCCCGTGTTGATCCTTCTCCCATCCTGCAGAGTGTCTCTGATTTAGTTGCTTGTTAACTTGTGTTTTAAATGATTGCGATTTGTTCCCCCGATCCCTTAACTGTTTCCCCGACATTTCCTCCTATAAGTGAGACATCTGATATTTTTCTTTTTCCTTCCGGCTTATGTCACTAAGCATGGTCCCTTCCAGCTCCAGCCATGTTGCTGTGAATGGCCTGAATTGATCTTTTTTGATGGTGGAGTACTACTCTATTGTGTATAGGTATCACATTTTCTTGATCCAGGCATCTGTTCCTGAACATTTGTGTTGTTTCCACATCTTAGGTAAATAGCGCTGCAGTAAACATAGGGGTGCAGGTGTCCTTTTGGAGCGATGTTTTTATGTCCTTTGGGTAGATTCCTAGGAGTGGGATTGCTGGATCACATGCAAGCTGCGTTTTTAGTAGCTTGAGGAACCTCCACACAGCTTTCCAGACTGGTTGCGCCAGTTTGCCCTCCACCAGCGGTATAGGAGAGTTCTTTTCACTACATCCTTACCAGCATTTGTTTCCTGTTTTTTTTAAGATTTATTTATGCATACAAAGCTGGGGTACAAACTAGAGGTGTGGGGGCGGTGAAAGGATTCACCAGAGACAGAGTGGGGAGTAAACAGGCAGGTTGAGGAAGTCCACTGCTGAGGGGAGCAGCGGGCTGGTCAGGAGCGGTCTGCCGGGCTCTGTGGGTCAGCTTCATGCACCAGGGATCGAACTCGCTCTGAGGCAGCTGTGGCCAGTTTGCAGTGTGCGTGCTAATCCGCTGTGCCACCAGGGAGGGCCCTGTAAAATGTTTTTCTTTCTCTTGTGCATGGACTTGTTGGATCATATGTTAACTGTTTTGCTTAAACCTTTGCATATTTTCTTTTTAGTTGTTTGTTGTTTTGGCTGTTTTGAGGAATTCTTACACCTTCTGAATAACTGTCTACATTCCTACGTATTCCCGTTGTGCCACCAGGAAGGGCCTGGCTTTTGTTTTAAAGATTTATTTATTTAGGCTTACAGAACTGGGATACAGGCCAGAGGTTGGGGTGTGTGTGTGTGTGTGAGAGAGAGGATTCACCAGAGACGGGGAGAGGAACAGGCAGATTGATGAAGCACACTGCTAAGGGGAGCAGCGGGTGGGTCAGGAGAGGTCTGCTGCGCCCTGTGGGTCACCTACCTGGCCAGGTGGCTGCGGAGAGCTTCCTAGGTGGTGTTTTAACCTGTTGCACCACCAGGGAGGGCCCTGTTTTGTTTTTTTAGTATGTGCCGTTCTCACTGGCTTAAGGCAGTATCTCATTGTGGTTTTGATTTGCATTTACCTGATTACAAGGAATATTGAACCTTTTTTTATGTGCCTGTTGAGCAGTTGGGTTTCCTCTTTGGAGAAGTGTCTCTTTAGCTCTTCTGCGCTTTTTTTGGCTGGATCGCTTACTTTGTTTTTGTGGGTCCCGTGAGCCCTTGTAGATCTTTGTGATCAGTTCCTTATCAGTAGTAGTGTGTGCAGAAATTTTTCCCTAGTTAGTAGGTTGTATCTTTGTTTTGGTTACTGACGCTTTTGCTGTATAGAAGCTTTTTAATTTGACATAGTCCCAGTTGTTCATCTTTTCCTTGTTTCTGGGTTTCTATTTGGATTCCATTGGTCTCTGTCTGTTCCAGTACCATACAGTTTCTTTCCATGTCTTTGTGTCTTCTATTTCCTTTAACAATGTTTTATAATTTTCTTTGAAGAGGTCCTTCTGTTGTTAGGTTTATTTCCCAAGTATTTGATTTTCTTTTTTGTTTCCGTTATAAAAGCGATGGTTTTCTTGAGTTCTTCAGGTTGATCGCATATAGGCAGGCGACCGATTTTTGTGTTGATTTTTGTACCCTGCTAGTTTACTGAACTGGAGGATTATTTGATTAGCTTTTCTGTGGCGTTTTCAGGGTTCTCTATAGTATCATCTTGTTTGCAAATGGTGATAGCCTTACTTCTTTCCCTATTTGGGTTCTGCTGTCTACGGCTCTGGCTAGGACGTGCAGTGTCATCTTGAAGCAGTGGTGACAGTGGACATCTCGTCTTCTTCCAGATCTAAGGGAGACGCAAGCTTTTCCCCACTGAAGCGATACCGGCTGTGGTTTGTGGCATATGGCCTTTATCATAGTAGGTGTGTTCCTCTGTCCTAAGAACTTTGAGGGCCTTCGTCATAAATGGGTGTTGAACTTTGTCTATTAATTATGATCAGATGGTTCTTTTTTCCTGTTTGTTGATGTGTTGGATTACATGGATTGATTTTCAGATGTTGAGCCATCCTTGTGCCTCAGGAATAAATCCTACTTGGTCGCGGTGGATTATCATTTTGATGTATCGTTGGAGTCTCTTGGCTAGGATTTCATTGAGGATTTCTGCATCAGTGTCATGAGAGAGATTGGCCTGTAGTTTCCTGTGTTGTGTTGCCCTGGTTTGGTTTTGGTATTAATGTCATTAATGTTGGCTTCAGAAAATGTATTTAGTAGTACTCCTTTTGAGAGTCTGTAGGACAGACACTAGTTCATTTTTTAAAATAATAGTTTATTTTTATTTCATTTTGTGCCTTTTTCCATCTCAGTTGTCATACCCTTGGGCTTCCCATCACCACATCCCCCGTGTGCCATCACCACAGTCCAGCGCACTCCTCCCCCCCACCCCCCATTGCTGATCCCATTCCCCACTCCACCTCTGTAAAATGTCTCTGGTATATGGCTGTTCATTCTTATTATTTTCTCGCCTGGTCCATTATACTCCTGCTATGAGTGACACCATCCGGTATTTTTCTTTCTCTTTCTTTTCTCTTTCTCTTTTTCTCTTTCTGATCTTTTCCAGCTCCATCCAAGTTGCTACAAAAGACATGTGTTTCTCTTTTTTGGTTGCTGAGTAATATTCCATTGTATATATGGACCACATCTTTCTAATCCAGTCATCTACTTTTGGGCAT